AATAACTCAGAGAAATCACTGGACTCCCATAAAACAACCAATGTTCTGTATGCATAATTTGTTCCACCTGCCATGTTTACAAGGCACCCCAAGGAGCACTAGCTTAAAACTCAGCAATCCATCTGCCTCCCTGTTCGAAGGGGTAATTATTGCCTCAACTAAGCAAAAAGGAATGCACAGCATGCTGCTGACCATGTCAGGTGACTGATGGATGGGACTGACTTACTCACCCAGGTCATCAGCTTTTCTAATAGTGGCGGAGGTTGGGATCCAATGTCAGATCCCACTGACTGTCAACATAAAAGGGGGAGAAAAATGGACAAAGGCCACATTCTACAGGCTACACTCAGAGCACAGATCACATATGCAACTTTTTTCACTTCTCATGGGCATGTATCTTGTAAGAAACACAGTGAAGAATGGTGGTGGGAGGAGAAGATAAGGTATCTTTATGCCAAAACACTGGTAAAATTGGATTAAAAATAGAAGAGTGGGCCTCCCCTGGTGGCGCAGCAGTTGAGCGCTGGGCTGTGAGGCTCCCCGCAGCCTCTGCAGCCCCGGCTCATTCCCTGGCCACCAGCGAGGGTCCCACAAAAAAAAAATAGAGGAGATACAAAAGCAGGTGTTTTGTTTCTAGGAACTTACTATTGACTGTAGTTTTTAATGACTTTTTTTTAAAGAAAGTGTTAACATTTAATATGAATGTGCGATGTTTTACTTGTCATGCACACAAAATAGGGTCTGGCCTCCAATATACACTTAACTGAGTTCAAATAAGGTTACAGTGACTAAGATGGAATATAAACTGTAAAGAATAGACTGTTTTCAGAGGAGAATGAAGTCCAAGTGCAAAATCACACGTGCTGATGAAATGCACAAACACATGCCTATCTTCAAAGAAATTCTGCTAATAAGAAGCTATTAAAAGAAGAGCTCTTTGGGGACACACCCCAAGTGAATTGCAAAAGGTCACACACAACTCCCTCCCTCTGAAGTGAGATAGATACAACATACAAATTAGCATATAGAATATCAAGTCATTAAATGTTCCTTGTCAAGGCTCCCAGGGGATGAAAAGGAGGAAGCAGAGGATGCAGGAAGGGATTGTGAAAGTAGAGAAGAATGGACAGGTCACTCTGAAAAGTTCTTGGTCTTTTAATTTCACAGAACAGCAAAAATAAAAGACAAACTTAAGGGTGGGGGTGGAGAACACATCAAAATTGAGTTGTCATTTATTTTGCTGCAATATCTCTACCATTCACTATCATAATTTTTTTTTTTACCAATGATAGGGAAGCTAGACTCTCAAAATAAAGGCTGATCATTTCTATTAAGTAAATTTTACTTTGTAAGAATACACTTAAGTACCTTCTTTCAAAAATCGAGTATCTTAGAACATATAATACTCTTCACCATTAATACCTTTGATAGATATTTAGGAAAAAAGTCTTCATTTTGCAGTTCTAAAAAATATAATTTTCAAATTAAATTGCATTGCATTAGAGTAACCTCTTCCTCTATAATTTCACTGGCAGACTGTAAGAATCCCCCTAACTCTACCCGTCCCCTCTCATCTCCATGAAGGTGATGATTTATAAAGAAGACAAGTTAATGCAGGACAATCTCTGTAAGGTTATGAAGCTACAGGAGCCACAGATACTTCTTTAATTATTTTAGCTTCATCCTAACAGAGGATCACATGTTTACTATTTGTATGTGTCTTGGTCTCTGACTTAACTGTCATGATTAAGAAGCAATATATATTCTGGCCTCAGTGTTTAAAAGTGGCTGTATTAAAACCAGCTATGTCCCCCTGCTGGCTGGATGTGTTTTACATTCTCCCCCTCCCAGTGAGAAAAGGGGGAGAAAAGAGTGAGAGATTGAGGGAGAAAATTTATATCTACAGGCTGGCAGTGCTCTAGTCCAGATAGTGTCTGCTGAGCAGAGACCAAGGTCCAAGCCGAAGCTGTGTGTAGCAAACTGGAGGCTTTTGCATCAATACCTTTCCACACCAGTGGTTTTGTTTTGTGGTGTAGAGGAAACCAGGACACTGCAGCTAAGAAGAAGCAGGTTTATTATACTGGTGCTTGGCTCAGTGGATCTACATCCAAAGGCTGAGCACCCCTTCAAGGAGGTTATAGGCTTAGATACATTTTAGCTTGCGCTGGGTGGGTTAGCATTATAACTGTTCAAGGTCAGATATGATGTGAGTTACAGTCCAAGAAATGTAGTAAGTTGCTCATGGATGGAGCTGAAAGGGATCATGCTCAGCGAAATAAGCCAGAAAGAAAAAAGAAAAGTACTGGATGGTGTCACTCATAGCAGGAATCTAGAAAACTTAAATAAGGGACCAGGAAAAAGAATAACTATAAGAAAGAAAGAATCAAAATCAACAAACAACTATGAACCAGAGACACTCTATGGGGGGTAGGGGGCGGGAAAGGAGGGATTGGAGTCAAAATAAGGGGGTTATAATTGTATGGGGAATATAAAAATAAAATTTAAATTAAAAAAATGTAGTAAGTTGCTTATTGCAGGACCCTAGGCTGCCCTGCTCAGCTTAACTACAAAAAATTCCAAGTCTGCCCTTATTTTTCCTCAGCCCCAGCTCAGGGGGTGGTCTGGAAAGTACCTTCTACCTTTGAGATGATGGCAGAGGGTGGAATTTGGAAAGTTTCACCTTCCACCACCAAGTTGGCTATGAATGCGACCCACTGGCTTGGAGGTTACTCCACAATGTTCCTCTTACATTATAACTCATTAAAATAACTTGTTTTAAAATTAAAAAAAAAAAGTCTACATCCCAGCCTGCAGCTTTAATGCTCCCCATAGTACCAAGACCATTTATTTCCCATCTACTGACTGACCTCCTAAAGCATCATTAGCACACCTCCCCCCACCCACCCCCTAAGGCCTTGCGTCTGTCAATTTTAGTCAGCACAGCACTCAGAACCATCTTGGGGTTTGTTAGGGCTCCACAGCAAAGTACAGTAAAGAAGGAAAGGCGCCAACTCAAACCTTAGGGAATCGCCAACACAGGCAGACGCAGCCCAGGAAGGAAGGGAATCCTATCTGGAAACAGGATGCCAGCCAAGGCTACAGCTTGAAAGGTAGGTTTATAGACACCCATAATTAAGGGCTTCTGCCACTCAATTCTCAGCTAGTTAATGGCAGAAAGATCAATACCTACTTTTGATTTTCATGTACAGCATTATGGCCTTAGTGGGAGACAGGTCTCCTGGGAAGGAGATATGAGACAGGAAATGGGTCTTGGAGACAGTGATTCATGGCCAAAATTAATAATTATATCAGTTTACCAAATTATTTTCCTAATTATACTTGAGGCTCTTCTTTTGTTTTGTTTCACCAACTTTGTCTTTTTTGTGACAAGACCACTCAGCCTGAAGTCAGTGAGAGAGAAAATGATTATGTGCAGAGATTGAAGGAATAAATGTGGGCTTGAGTTATACAAAGAGAGGAGGGTCAGTTTGAAATGATATTCACTGGGCTTATCCACGCTCAACCAGGGTGATTACTGAACTCCAAACCAGAGTTAAGATAGACAGTCTTACATTCTGCAAACATGTCTCTAGGTTCTAGGACACTTAATTGCTCCAATGTGTTATTCTTGTTTACTTCCTGGGAGAATATCAAGTGAACCATCAGTGGCATTCCCTTTTAAACTAGATTATTATCATTCAAATGCAAAAAATAAGTTTTAAAGTACAGTATTTTGATATAATTTTTTTTCAGAACCAGGCCAAGAATCTACTTCACAGAAAAAAAATAAAAATAGGCAACAAAAATATTTTAATATAGAATTTATGCAGAGGATAGAATTATTTTATGAAAGTATGCAATAAATCCAAAGCTGTATTTTTAAAAAATCTGAAAAATATAATGGGATACTGTATCCAGTATCCCATATGTATAATATATATATATATACACACTCTATATATTCCACTATATACAGTATTCCAGTACTATATCCAATTAGGTTAGGACATTAACCATAGCATCTTGATTCACATATCCCTTCTCATACAGGTATTAATCTTCAAATTATGTTCTCACGAAGTAAAATCTAAAAATTATCCACTATGAAACCTTCTTTCATCACAGGAAAGTCACCTCTTTAAATTTTACCCAAATTCCCAGTACTCCTCAAAGAATGCAAGTTCTTCAAGTCATGAGCTTCTTATGGGTATAAAAGGTTCAGTCAAGTGACAATGGTGGCATCTTCACGAACCACAGAGATTCATGTCTTTACCAAATATGCTCACAACCCTAAGGAAACGTCCATAATCCTGTGCCAAAACTGACATTCACAGTTCTTCAAAACACCATTTATTAAGCACCTCTATAAGCCAGGCACTGTGCTAGGGGTACATTTAAACACAGGTATCCCTTTGACCTCACAGTAACTCCATAGGTAGGTATTATCATCCCATTTTATAGATGTAACAACTGAGGCTTGAGGTTAAGCAACTTGCCCAGGGTCACACGGCTTGTAAACAGTGAAAGGGACAGGGACTCCAGGTGAGGTCTGGCAGATGACAAAGGCCATGCTCTTCTCCTCTAAACTACAAGGTCAGCTCAACCCTAAGATATAAACCTTGATCTTGACCTCATTCATTAGGAACTGCTTGATCTTTATGGAATCCAAACTTTATACAGGTTGCTGGTGTAAAATGCAAGCTAACACATTTTCCAGATTTAACAAAGGAATATATATATTTTTAAAATAGTCACAAAAAAGAAGTTAGATGTACCAGGTAAATTATAAACTAGAATAACATAAAAGGTATGAAATTCTATTCAGCTGAACCAATGAATGGATGTATTTGTAGCCCAAAGCAGCCAAAAAGATTCGCCCTGACACAATGCATCCTAATAACAGAAGACCAGGTCTAGCCTCTGAGGGGTCCAGTCCAGGTCCACTCACAATGCACCTTGGCCCACACACGCCTGCGTGTTGCCTCCCAAGGGTATTGTACCTGAGCAGAAGCTGTTGCTGCTAATGGTCCTCGCCGAGCGCCCAGAGCTGCTGGGGTTGAACTCTTTGCTCTCTTCCTCAGAGAAGGGAGACTCAGAGGCTGGGGACACTTTGTGCTGCTGTTGGGGCAGATGGGGTCGAAGAATCAAACGGGGAATTCGGCTTCGGGAAATCTCCTTCTCATGATGCAGCACTCTCTGCTCCTTCTCAAAATTGGATATCAAAAAGAAAACAAAAGGAAATTTGTTTCCCCCTCTTAATTCCTACCTGTTCCTTCTAGGCTCAGTTTCTAAGAAATCACATTTCTGAATATTGAATCTTCACCCTAGGCCTATCTCAGTTGTTGAAATGAGCTCCAAAACTCTTTCAACGAGTTAAACCTAATTAACTAAAAACATGCATGAGGGTGCACACACACACACACATACACACACCCCACCCACCCACCCCTAGTTGGAAGGTCATTCCTCACTCCTGTGCCATTCCTAACTCACCTTCACACTGTGGCTTTTTCTGTCACATCCAAGTGTTTGACTCAGCACTCTTCATTAACTCACAGCACACTGGCTTATTACTTGATTTTTTCTAGACTTCCATTTTGCTTTCCCTAAATTAGCTATGAATGTTTGACTTCTGCTGTCCTCTCTCCTTACAAAGTAGATCCCTATACCTGGAACAATTCTTTCCTGCTACATCATGCGGCCTTATCTTTCAAATCCCTCCTCTTCCCTCCAGGATCTTAATTATTCATTCATATCCTGGTATACAAGGCTTGTTGCCAACAGAAAGGCAAACAAAAATCCAATACTGGGTGAGATAGCTCCACCGTTTACATCATGTTAAGCTTTTGTTTCCCTGACAGGACACCCATGAGAAGAGATATTTTTTCTCTTTTTTAAAAAGCACATTAGATACAGAGGGTCATGCTTTGATAAAAATGCATTAAAAAGTAACATTTGGGCACTGCTTTTCAAATTTAAAGTGCTTTCCAAATTATTATCTCATCTGATCCTTAGAGTCAAGGCCACAGAGAGGACACTAATTGGAGTCCCTATTTACAGATGAGGAAACTGAGGCTAAAAGTGATCTTAGTCACCACATCATATCACCTAGAAGAACAGGCCTGGAGTCCAGTGCTTTTTGGGGTCACCACCACCCCGCCTTATTAAAATGGATTCCTAGGAGGAGCTCTGCAGAGAAGCCTGCTAGTCCCTCCAACCTCTGCGACTGAAAAAACGGCTTTGGATTAAGTAACAAACACTATTTTGAAACATGACCTCCTGCTCATTTCCACAGGGCTTACCAGGAAGGGCTGCTGCCAAAGTAAACACCTCTGGGAGGCCAGCAAGTGCAGGAATTGAGGGGAAAGCCCCAGCCACAGGGAACCCCTGAGGCTCCAGAGGCATCCACCCCATTCCTGGGGTGAAAGCCACACCCAATCTCTGGATTTGCGCTGCACATCAGACACCGGCAGGTATCAAACGTCAGCAACCCCCTGGGCACACTGCAGCCCCTGAACCGAGGCTGGGTCACCGATAAGCTTATTTCAATCACCATTACACCAAGTCCCTTTTATTCGCGTCACACACACAGGGCATCCATTGGGAGCTAGATCCCAAACCAATTTCGGGAGATCGGATTAACCCTCCAAGTCAATTTTTGTAAATCCTGCTGTCAAACCCCGAAGTCTCTTCCTCCTGCACCACCTCCCCTTCTCCTGACTCGCATCACCTGAGCAATGCCCTTCTGCCTCCCACCCTCTCCACCGCCTCGGGTCCCCTTTTCACCCCGACTCCAGACGCCCCCCTCCAGCTCCCAGCTCCCACCTCTCGCCCCGCAGTGCGCCCCTTCCCGCTCCCTTCGGCGCCCCCAGGACGTGACCTCCCTTCTTACCTTGGTTTCACGGAGGGGCCCCATCGCGTAGCTGCCAGCCGGCTCCTCGCTCCACCGCTGTCGCCGTCCAGGAGGAGGCACCTGCGCGCACCAGGGCGAGGAGACTGCGCTGAGGCGCGGGCTGCTGCTGCTGCGGGGCCCGAGCGCTCGGCTCGGAGGGCGCAACTGGCCGCCCCGCCCCGGCCGGACACGTGGTGTGGCCGCCACCGCCCGCGGTGGATCCCGGGGCGCCGCCTCCTGCCCGGACCGCCCTCACCTGCTCGCCCCGGGGTAGCTCCTCTGCGCACCCCGTCAGCCCGACTGCACCGCGGGCACAGCTCCCCCGCCCCCCAGTACCGCGCGCCCCTCCCTCTCTGCAGAACCCGACCCGCAGGGGGCAGGCGGAGGCTCGCAGCATCTCTAGGCGCCCGACACCCTCTTTTTGGCACCTGGTTTGGGGTTTAAAAGGGGTGCGCGTCGTATGAACGAGCTGAGAAAAGCTGCGACCTCACAGCCAAAATGGAGAAAGGGAAAGTTTTCCTTTCCCGGCCCCTCCCTGTCTCTTGGTTTTAAGTCAACATACAGCTCCCCACAATTACCTCGCCCGAGAGAGACGGGGCGGGTTCCCCTCCACCCGGACCCCAGCCAAGCCACTGCTGCAGAACTGACACAGCATCTGGGTTCTGGGATCTCAGAGGCTGCGATTTTTCTGGGGGATTTGCATCAGTAGGGCCTTGGCTTGGCAGCCCGACGCCCAGGAAAAGAAGGCCAGGAGGGTGCCCGTGCTTTGGGGAAGCCGGGCTGCTGAGGGCCCAAGTACCTTTTCTCCGCCCTGCAGGCGCTAGGAATGAGCCCCAAACACAAGGCTTTGGGCTGAACACTGCACCTTGTACTTCAAACCCAGTCCGAGGCAGAACTCCACTGCCTTCAAGCTGAGTGCTGATAACACCTAAAATTCCTCTCTGAACTTCCAGCTTATCCTCTTTTAAATGGGAGATAATGATAATAATAATAATGATCATAATACCTACCTCGGCTAGCTGTCAAGATTGGGTTGAAGACGACTAAACAGCTGTACCCAGCTGTACCTTTCCAAAGGGCAGTTGAGCCACATCCAAGTGGTTCATACAATATTTGCTAGGTCTCTTACAGAGTGGCAGAAAAACCAAGGTGGGGCAGACACATGTGTTGAGAAAAGTTCAAAAATCATTAGAATGGGGAGCCATCGGTTGCATCATGAAGCTTGAGCTATTAAATGGGATGCATTTAAATCTTATCTGGTGATGATATTCAACATCTGTAATTACTTACAGGGCCTTTACTCAGGATGCAAGAATACTCTAAGTAGCAATGTGAGTGGAAATGTCTGATCCTTACATCCTAGTCTCTTGCCTGGAAAGACGATCACCCTTGAAATTTGTATTTGACTACCATCTCCATTTGTCCTCTGCAGAGCATTTTGCTGAGTCTTCAACTCTCAAGTCTAGGAATGTGAAAGTTTCTTGGTTTCACTGATCAGAGGATCAGTGGAATCGATTTCCTTCTTGCCGTACTTCCAAAGACATTTTGTTCCATACATTTTCAATCTACTTAGCTTGCTTAAGCAGTGGGGTTGGAAATCTTAAACATTCTTTATTCGGAGGGAAGGTGTGATTACTTCACACTTTGTATACCCATAGCTGTCTCTAATACAGTCCTCAGGAAAGTGATGGTCCAGATAATTCATACAATTATTTAGCTATCAAATATTCCCCCAAAATTATTAGTTCCAGAAAATATTGTGAAATAGGAATAAACTGTTAAGGTGAAAAGGTGCTTCTGTGTTCCCTACTGAGAGTTAAAAATTGAGTAAGAGTGTCTAATAGCAGCAACAGCCTCGCTGAGCTGTCCAAGGCAGAAATTCAGAGTTAATCTTGACTTCTCTCTCATGTAGTCCCCACAGAGCAGAAATCACGGTGAGCTCCATGTGGCTTTAGTAATAATGTTTTGAATCTGATCACTTTTGTTCATTATTCATTTCCATTCTCTTCATTTAGAGACTAAACGGCAGACATTCTAGATAGCAACAGTGATCTAACTAAAGTTGCTGTTTCCAACCTTGCCCCTTATTTCTTTCTCTTGTTTTAAACTTTTTCTGCAAGGCCTTTCTAGAAGGCTAAATTCAGCCATGCTTTCTTCAATGAAACTCAGTAATGGTTCCTTAGTTGATTTCTATATAAGATTCAAACTCCTTAATGCGGCACAAAGACCTTTCATGATCTGACCATGTTCAGTTCTCCAGTCTCATTTCCTGCCACCCTCTTCTTGTGTCAACTCTTCCTCATCACCACCCTCCCCCCCATATGTATTAATGGATACCCCTTAACCTCTAGAACTGATTTCAGTTCTCTCTTCATGTTTTCCTCTAGGCTGTTGTACTTGCTTGGCACCTTTGTCTGGAGCATTACTTGCATCTGAACCATTCATTCTCCTCAAACCCCTAAATATACACTATGTTTCATTTTAGAGACAGCTTCTTCCAAGAAACCTCCCCTTGGAATGGAAGGATCAGATTTCCCCCTTATATAATTCCAGGACACCTGTATTTAATTTACCCCAAGAGAGCTGTTATGACTTATATCAGAATTCACTATTGATCAATATTTGTCTGTCTTTACCAGGGATCTAGGCAGCCCCCAGCACAGGTCCTGCCACACAGCAGGCACTCAGTACATAACACTCAAAGGAATGAATGCATAAATGAGCCCATCCTGTAAATTCTAAGGGACCATCCGTACAGAATAAAAAACATAGGCACCACTTCTGTTTTGAAAATGACTCAGGAAAAGCTGCCTCCAGTATGTCATTGTATTTGATAAAGGGGTGTGTGCCTAAAAAAATTCAACATGTGTTCAGTGAAAGCTTTTTACTGCAGAAGTGCAGGCACTGAGAGGCTGTGCAGTAGCCCCGCTGTCACCATAGCAACCTGCCAGGGAAAGGCTGATGATTTAGTGTTCAAACGTCTCTTAGCTCTGTACTTTTGGAACCCAAGCCTGTTTTTCTGCTGTTCTATAAGGCAAGTTTTACAAATGATATCTGTGCTGCCTTTAATTTTATTCAAGTGCTTCTCATGTCATTAAGAGATATGTTATAACATTTGCATTGTATCATCAAAGCGACATAATCTAATTCAGCATATTACATTCATCTTTCATCTGCTTTAAAATATTCTCATGCATCATTTTCAGTTTCGACTTAAATACTAATTTTATTGTCTGCTTTTGTAATTGTGTGGTTTTTCCTTTAATAGTGAATGTAATGTTGATTTTTAGAAAATATCAGCTGCTATAGAAAGCTAACCCATAAAGATGATAAATAATAGCCCTTTCCAGGCTTGGAAAGGAACAGAGGAAATGGGGTCTTGTAGTTTAGGCGGGGGAAGGCATGTGTGTATGTAATTATGGCCCCAAATATGTGGCATGTTATTTGATTAGTTGTTTATGTGAAATTTGTAATTTAATAATTCATACCTTTTATTTGTACAAAACTAGATTTTCTGAGCTTTGTCACATAGGTAATCTTATGTGAGACTCACAGAAACACTGTGAGGTGGCCTATCCCTGAATCCAGATAAGTAATAAAGGACAGGTTTTTATAGATAGGACCCCCCCTCTCCAACCTGCAAACTTCACAGAAAAGACAATACAAATACACTGCCAAGGAGAAACGTGTGCACCACACAACAGAGACACACCGCCGCCCCATCACCTCTCTTCCTCACTGCTCACCTGCTTCTGCTGGGGGTTTTCTCAGACTCAGTCAGGGCTGACAAAGCACCATCTCCTAATCCTATCAGCTGTGTGAGCAAGCGCTGCCGTCTGTCTCAGTGACCCAATGTTGGGTGATCTGCACAGCAACAAGGAGCAGCTGACGTGTTTTACCACACGTCATGAAGAAAAGAAGCTGCATTCTGGGGCATCCTGGGATTTTTGTGTGGTGGGGTGGAGACCCATATTTTTCTTACCAGGGAGAGAGCTGCCTGTTTTCCCGTACATAAGAGCATGTGTGAGTGATCAACGGCCCTCTTATCGTATGTGTGTTATTGTTACTATATGGTTACAGGATTTTGATGTTGTAAACTGTAATGAGTAGAATTCCGCAAGATCACTCCCTGAGGAGGGGGCCAGAGAGCTATGGGGAAGCTGAGGCAAGGCCGGCTGAACCTTCACTGGCTTCAGACTGTGCCAATTATCTCTGCTCTGCAAATGAGTTTTCAGTCAGACATCAAGCAGGTGCAGAACAGGAATTAAGGGAAGATCCAGGTGAGGAGGCAGAGGTTGGGGGCTGGGTGCTTTGAAGGATGGAGGGGTGCAGTCTCCTGCTGCCTAACAGGGAATCAGACATGAGGTAATACTCCAGAAATGCTTCTGCCTTTGTGGCCTTTTGTCCATCTGTGAGAATAGGGGAAGCTACCAGCCAAAGACATAAGTCTAGTGATGGTGTTAAACAAGTCAAGGACATAGGGTTGGACAAGCGGGTACATAGTAGCTGGGAAAGTGGTTAGCATGGCTGAAACTGAGATGTCTGGAAAGTGTGCTTTTACAGGTTGCCATCAAGGTATCAGAAACTCAGCCTTGATATTTACCTAATGAAATATTTCAAATGACTGGATAAGATAGTGGGGGATGTGTGGGTGTTGAGGACTTAGAGACAGGGCAAAGGAAGTTGTTTGCAAGGTAGGCATAGGGAGGCCTAAGACCAGAGACTGAATTCTGGGCTTGAAAGAAAAGCACTTTCCTCTCCTAAGATACTAGAAGGGATGAGAAGGTCAGGGCAGGGGAAAGCTATCAGAAGTCAGTGAGAAGTGGAGTGGAGCCCTTTCTCAGACTAGAGGCTGTGAGGAATTCATTCAGCAGCCACAGCAATTGAAGCTTAGACAAGACACTTATATAATCTGTGTTCTCAGAAAGCAGATTTGTGACTAGATTTGAATGACATGAAAAGACTAGGCTCTACTTGATATTATTTCCTTACATGATTTTGTACTTGTTTGCCCTTCAACTTTCTAGAAAAGAATCATGATTATTATTATTATTATTATTTTTAATAGTTCTGCCTTTATTTCTGCTGAAAGATTGGGGGTGGGAGGAAAGGTTTTTAGACTGTCTGCTCAATGGAGAAAGAGCAGTGCTGCATAAAATGGAGCATAGCGCCTCTACAGGCCAACT